TTATGTGCATGGTGTAAGGGTTGCTTCAAGAACTCTAGAATTGTATCGCGTCGATTGGTAAAGCGTCAAGAGCATGAATGTTAATGAGGTTGGCAGTGTACGAGGTATCATTGGAGGAGTGTGACCATATAGAGCTTGGAAAGGGGTCATCTTGATACTGTCATTATAGGTTGTGCTGTAACAAAATTTTGCCCAACTCAAAAACTCAACCCAAGAAGTAGGCTTTTTCCATGGTAAGTGCACGTAGAAACTGTTCAAGACCCCTGTTAACCACTTTGGTTTGACCTTCTGTTTGAGGGTGATATGCAGTACTATGTTTCAGCTTATCCTTGGTTGTCCGAGCAGACTTTCAGCTGTTCGGACCCAAGGTTTTGGCATATTTCAAACCTGCAATAACGGCCTCATATTCGGCCTCATAGTTAGTTACTTTAAAAGTGAAGTGTATAGAATAGTATGCCTTGAACCCTTGAGGTGAAGTGTGTTAGTATATATGTCCTAGCGACAATCACTTTTTAGAAACATATGTACTTGATCACATTTAGTTTTTATATTTGATATATACATGGTATCACACTTTATGAATGATTTTTTTCGATTGTCAATGTTTTATTCATAATTGTGTTCCCTTGGATTTATGTTGTCACTAAGTAAGTGAGAGCTTATATGATATAACATAAAGTCCAAAAATAGCCCCAATCAATGATCATCAAGAAAGGGATATTGATGATATGCGTTAATATTAGTATGTGGACTGCATCATACTTTTAGAAAGTATAGTTGATCTCACAACTATGAGTTCCTATAATTCATGATGCATGGTCACATAGATATTTTAGAGAATATTGACATACCCACCGAGAAACCATTTGATAAGTTCTATTCATGTGTCTATGTGATTATCGGCGTATATAGTAGTGTAATAGTCCCCCGACTTGAGATCAATACGTACTACATGTGCGGAGTGATGTACTTTGACCATGACCAACGCTTGCACTCCAATCGGGGTAGATACGACATGTGTTGGGTGCATCACGAAGCACATGGAGTAGTAGTTGAGCCAAGAAAGGATTCATTCCTCGTAATAGATTAAGAGAGAACATTCTACTTCTCATATCTAGATGAATCATAAAGTCATTGGTCAATGCAAAGATATATTCGTTTTGGATATCGAATATGATCGTTATGGATCATCTAGAAAGATTGAGAGATAGAGACTAAGTTATTGGAATAGACACAATATCATGTTCTAGACTTAGTTGAATCTTCGTTGAATGAAAGGACCGTATCACTATGATCTCTATATTACAGGGAGTTTGAATAGTCCTCACAAACGTCCTTATATATTAAGTTTGTCTGGAGAATCGTCTAGGGATTCACTAAGACCTTAATTTGATTAATGCTTAATATATAAGGTCCTATGGGTCACACAACAAGTGATTATACCTTCCGATTGAATTGTTAGAAGGAATTAAATATTAATTGGATTAAGTAATATTTAATTTGTAATACTGAAAATGGATTAAATATTAATTAGATTAATATTTATTTAATTCATAATATTGAAGGAGAGTTATATTTGATAGAATTAATTAAGTGTGATAAATTAGATTTATTATACTTAATTAAGATGCATTTTTAATTCACCGCCGCCTCTGCACCACTACCTTCAGTCACCAGGGTAAAAAAAATGCCAAGTTCATTACGAATGCCATATTTATGGCAGAAAACAATGAAAATGTTGACATTCTCAAAAAGAAATATGTCATGTTTTTGGCATTTTCAAGAAAAAAATGACAGTTTTTAGGAAATTGACATTTTTTTCACCGGCCGGAGATGGTGGTGCAGGGAGGTAAGGCGGGCGGTGAGAAAGACATCCATAATTTTTTTATTTTTTTTATGGAGTTTTACTATTTTTTATTAAATTTTTTAAAAAATAAAAAGTTAATTTTTTTTTATTTTATAAATATTTTATAAATATTTTAATTATTTTTCTACGAATTTTTGATTTTTTCGAATTTATTATGAATTAAACATTTAATTAAATCATATTTAAAGAAAGGATACGAATGGAATGAAAAAATAGCTATGTTTCCAATAGGACTAATATGGTCATATTTTGAATAGAAAAACATAGTAAGTCCTATTTTAAGTTTTTGCCATAGTTTTAGTCCTATTTGGAGTAATTTCTATATGAATTAAGAACAATAGTTGTGGATAGCTATATATTCCTTTAATTTGAAAAGTAATATTAAAACAAATAATTGTGGAATTGATATGTGGCAATGCTTTCTTTATGCATTACTTATACAGGCCTTTCCTGCAGCCTCGGTCATCACCCAGCAATGTCACCTCCGATCAGCGAAAAATGTCATTTTATGTAAAAACTACCATTTTTCTTTGAAAATGCCATAAAGATGGCAGTTTTATTATTTGAAAATGCCAAATTTTCTCAAAATCTGCCATCTTGATGGCATTTCGGGAAAATGTTGGCATTTTTTTCGGTGGTCGGAGCTGGTGGTGCTGGGAGGTTATTGAGGCGGCAGCAGACGCCTACATATTTTTTAAATATATTTTTTTCATTTTTTAAAATTTTTCTAGGTTTTTATTTTTGATATTTTTCATTTTTTTTCATTTTTTAATTTTTTTAAGGTTTTTATTTTTCAATTTTATTATAAATTAATCAATCTTACAGAATATTTCTTTTATGTTTTAATTATTAATTAAAGTGGTTGGGGCTTGGGTAGGGGTATACTTGTCTATACACTAAAGTTACTCTTACTCAAAACATAGTACTCTTATTTTTGCATTTTGTCTATATTTTACTCCTATTTAGAGAATTCTCTCTTAACGTTTTAGCATCTAAGATCTCTAAGGCGTGGCAGATGCACCCCGCTAAATCCGTATCTACTTTGTGGAAAAATTTAACTGAAAATCGTAAATTGTAAATCAATTAATCTAATATAATCAATTTTCTACAAAAAAAAAAAAGCGTACGTGCGTGCGTCAATTACAGAGCAGGAAGTGTAGAAGGGTAGATACATTAGGGAGCGTGCTAAGCTAACCATATGGTAGCTGAGGGATGCGGCCATTATTCCACCACAAAGCCCCCATAACAAAGCTTTCAATTCAAATACACTTTTTCCTCTTCATCACCCTGTACACTTTACCAACCCATCCATGAGTACACACATTCTACTTCCACATTTTTTTTACTAAAAATGAGGTTTGAATTTTAATCCATAGATTTAGACTTTGTTATGTTCCATTTATAAACACTCAGAAATTAAATTAAGTATTAGTTTAGTTTACTCTTGACCAATTTGTTATATCAAAAATTATAAAATCTATGGTAGCATAGAAACTTTCGGGAAGTTGTACATTTTCGTTTCGGAAACTTTCCAAAGAAACGTTTTTTGGGCGAAAATGGAAGTTTTTAGTTTCTTGTTTCCTCATGATTTTCGTGTTTCTATAATTTATAATTTGTACTCCCTCCGGCCAATAAAAATTATACAGAGTACTAGAGTAGTAATACTACGGACTTATGGAGTAGTATAGATATATGTTTTTAATTAATAAAAGGAATATTGTTTTACGAACAACCGCAATATAATTATTAGATGCATACTTTATAAATTATTTTCCTCATCTCATAAAATTCTTCCAACTTTCTTTTTTAGATCGTCCCAAAAAAATCTTCCCGCTTAACATTTTTGGACAATTTGTGTGGCTCACATTCATTTCTTATTTTTCTTACACAGCTACAACAATACATTTTTACTTTATTTCACTTCCTTAATATGCGTGTCAAGTCAAAATTGGAAGTTTTTATTGGAACGGAGGGAGTAATATACTCCGTAGAACTTTACCAAATTGGATATCATGTTCTTTTAGGGTATGTTTGGGAGTTTGAAGGGAAGGGGAAGGCTTTGGAGGTATATGTTGTTGGAGGGGAAACAGAGAGGAGGGTGAGGAAATCCTTCTTTGTATTTGGGAGTAATAAAATTGGAAAAGAAGTGTTTTTGAAAGAATTATAATTAAAATCACCTTCAAATATGACGAATTCAAATCATTGAGCTGATATTCATTTTTAATTTAACTTAAATTACCATCTTGTTAATTATCCTCCAAAACCCTCCAAATTGGGGGAACTTAAAAATTAAGCATTTGGAGGGTTTTGAAGAGTTACAAAACCCCTCCAAAACCATCCCCTCCAATTTTTTAAACTCCCAAACATGAAAAAGAGAATTATAAGCCCCCATTAACCTTCCCCCCTCCAAAACTCAACTCCCAAACACACCCTAAGTAACTTTTTGGAATGAATTAACTTTTTTCTTTCTGGACCACGGAGTAATTATTTTTTATCAAAATAACTTCATTTTTGGACCAAATATAATCAAAATAAGTATGCCAAAATCACTTTTCTGGTTGAGTTTGACTTTAAATAGATACTACCTCCGTCCCTCTTATATTGGGTTAGAAGAGAGTGACAGGAGTATTAAGAAAAGTGAGGTTGTGTGGTTGATATTAATTGATAAAGTAAGAATAAAGTAAGAATGATTTAGAACCACACAAATTTTATCAAATATGATATGAGACAATTTTAATGAGACTTCTCGAAAAGGTAAAACGAGACAATATAAGAGGGATGGAGGGAGTACTATTTAAAGTTGACTCGGTCCTACCGAGTATGATGTAAATGATCCCGTCAGAGAGACTTTGACAGAAAAACCCCGTCCAAACTTGTCAAGGGCTTTTCAGGTGGCATCATTTAATAAAATTTTTAATATTGTTTTTCATCAATTTCATAAAGTATGCATCTAAAATTATATTGTGGTTGTTCTGTATTCTAGCCTTTAAATGTTGTTCTATATTCATCTAATAAAGTATGCACCAATTTTTTGAGAATGTCCATAAGTCCATTTGAGGATCACTTTAGTCACTTTCATATACTTCAAATATAAATTTTAATTTTTCACAATTCAATAGATTCAAACCACCGTTTTAGCTATAACCTAATGAATTACCGTTTTAACCATAACTTAGAGCAATTTCAACAGAAACAACAGAACTTATAATCTGTATAAGTACTGTGCTTTATGAAAGAAACATATTTTTATTTGGTGATTCCATTTGGGTGTAAAGTTTCACTTTTGATAAAAACATAAAACCATAAAGATACACAAATGGTGATCTCATTAAAAAGAAAAAAATAAGCAAATAGCACACAATATTATTACATACGAAGTATTATTGGTGCTATTATGGCATAACTTGAATGCAAATTGGCACACTGATACATCACATGATTAACTTTAATCACTTAATTAGTCGAGACGCTGTGGAGAACCACGGTCTCGACCGTGAGTCCGGGCCCGAACCCGAACAATACCCCCCACTCAAGCCCTTCACCCGTAGTGCTACGCCCTTCTTCAGCCGAGGCCTTCCTCATCTCATCCAAAATAAACAGCACACAAGCGCTGGACATATTCCCATAATCGCTCAACACTTGCCGGGTGGCCCGAAGTTTCTCGGGTTTCAGAGCCAACTTCAGCTCAACTTGGTCCAGAATTGCCGGCCCGCCCGGGTGGGCGACCCAGAACAGCGAGTTCCAATCCGTAATTCCCAGTGGTTGAAATGCTTCCTTCAAGCTCTTCTCTATGTTCTTCGATATCAGCCCGGGAACATCTTTCAGCAAGTGGAACGTGAGCCCGACTTCCCGGAGGTGCCCGTCGATGGCGCCGTGGCTGTCCGGCAGAATAGTTTGGGCCGCCGAGACCAGCTCGAACAAGGGCCTTTCTAGGTCCGGAATTGGGTCAGATCCGACGATAATTGCGGCAGCCCCGTCCCCGAACAGCGCTTGGCCCACCAGACTGTCCAAATGCGAATCGCTTGGGCCTCGGAAAGTGACGGCGGTGATTTCCGAGCAGACGACCAGAACCCGGGCGCCCTTGTTGTTCTCGGCGAGATCCTTGGCCAGCCGGAGAACCGTCCCGCCGGCGAAGCAACCTTGCTGGTACATCATGAGCCTTTTGACGGACGGTTTGAGCCCAAGAAGCTTAGTGAGCTGGTAGTCGGCCCCTGGCATGTCCACACCACTAGTGGTACAAAAGACCAAATGGGTGATTTTGGACTTGGGCTGGCCCCATTCCTTGATGGCCTTTTGGGCCGCTTCTTTCCCGAGCTTAGGAACTTCAACCACCACTATATCTTGCCTTGCATCCAGAGAAGTAGCCATGTACTCACACATGCTGGGCTTGTCTTTCAACACTTCCTCTGTTAAGTACATGTAACGCTTGTTGATTTGAGACTTCTCACCTGTAAATTTAAGGGAAAAAATAGATTTAGATCCATGTAAATAGGAGTAAACATAAACGGTCAAACACATTTCTAAGAATGAGATGAGAAAATTCCCGCAATAGGAGTAAAAAGTTTGAATATTTCAAAATAAGACTGACGTGTTTTTATTCCAAAAATCGGAGTTATTACTGTCAAGTTCTACAAACCAGGTCGAACAGTGAAAAACTAGTGTCATTTTCTCAATATAAATGCAAATCAAGGTGATAACTTTAAATAGGGATTCAATCTTATAAATATTAAAAATTCTTGAAATAACCATAAATGTGAGATACTTTGAAAAGAAAACAGTGATTATTGTGATGCATGCAAGATATAGACTAAATGGAGGAGGAATCAATAAGTAAACAGAAGTATAAGAGATTTAGAGATTAAAAAACATACACATGCGCTTGAACTTTTCTTTAAGCTCAGTCATGTGTTCACTCTTAGTGATGCGAAAATAATAGTCAGGGTAGGTGCTCTGGTCAACGCAATTCGGGGGAGTGGCGGTTCCGATGGCCATGATCGTCGCCGGACCCTCCGCCCGCTGCGCCTTTCTCACCTCCTCCACCGTCACCATTTTTATATTATGTGAGGTAAGATGGAAGAAAGGGCTGGTGGGGGTTGCCGGAGAACAATAATGAGGCTGAATATTTAAAGCTCTGTTTGGGAGAAGACAGAAATGTGTTAAATTTTTCTATTGAAGTGGAGCTTATTTGAGTGGTATATATACTGGTCATTACACAGAGGTTGCCGCACAGAGGCCTTTTAATTCAGCTACACATGTTTTCAGGAGCTTAGTTTTGAGCCACCCTTTAGACTTTACCAACCTGTGTACTACAAGTCTACAACACACCATTTCACTAGCGCATGACGTTTTTGTTGTTACTCACTCCCATAAAATAAGTCTCATTTCAATTTGGATCGGAGTTTAAGAAAGTGAGAATAAAGAGGAAATGTATGGTTGTGGTTGAGTAATAAAAAAGTAAATGAATGTTAGCCACACAAAACTTTCCAAAAAGGGAAATGAGAACAATTTTTTGGGACGACCCAAAAAAAAAAATGAGACTTATTTTATGGGACGCAGGGAGTATTTACCAATCTAAAATACTCAAGCTCCCTCAATTAAGTTCCCCCTTTCCTTTTCGGGTAGTCTCTGAATTAAGTTCTCCTTTCCTTATTTCGTAAAAACACTTCATCGAAATAGTGCAAAACAATGCCAAACGGTGTCAAAATAGTGTCAAAACAGTAAAATTTATCCCAGTAATTTTTTTCCTTAATAAGTGTGAAAAGCAATGAGGAACTTAATTGGTGGAAGGAGGGAGTATCTTATATTTGGTTTTCAATTATGGGAAAATTACTATTAACCCCCTAACGTTATGTCGTAATTATTAATGCAACCTTGCATTTTCAAAAATCAACTAGTTACCCCTCAGCTTTGATCATTCTCACTATATGCCCCCCTCATGTTAATATTTGTTAAATTATATTTAATATAACTCTTCAAATCAATGAAATTTGTCTATAAAATTAATTTAAAGTAAAATACAAATTATTATAATAATTTTAAATCACTGTTCTTGATCGTTATTTTTGTTTTTAGCTACTCGATCGTGGAATAAATATTAATGAAAGTAGTTAAGGTAGAAGGCTCACGGGCTGGGTAATATTCATGAGATATATCAAAGTTGTTAGAAATATTGTGATCAAAATTCTAGACACCTCTTCATCAATATGAATATAAAAGTCTTGTTTATAATTCATTCGGCTGAATTAATCTCAATGACATTTCTTTCGTGTGTAGCAAGAAGAAATTTCAAGTAAAAAAGAATTTTATCAATCCATGTCCTAAAAGATTGGTCTAGTATTAATAACAAAACTAAAAGTGTTCGATATAGGATCTCAATAATTGGAAGCTATCAATCTATCTAAGACATAAAATATACGATAGTACTACGTATATCATAGTTTTTGATTTTTTAATTAATTCTATTACTAATTTTTTATGATTTTTTCTCCGCAAAAAGTTTATTAGTTTAATAAGATTAAATGATATTTGTTTTTTTTTAATTAAAAAAGATAAAAATTCGTGGTATTTTATATCTTACGTGTGAGTCTTCTCTCTTAATTAAATTCATTAATATTTATTCCATGATTGAGTAGATTAGTAAAAAATAACTATCAACAACCATGACTTATAATAATGATATAAAATTGTGTTTTACTTTAAAATTTAATTTTATACACCTTTCAAATGTGACTAATAATTAATCTGTATTATACATAATAGTATACTTTTACCATCATTTAATTGTAAAAATGAAATATAATAGCTACTACATTTGAAGGTCATATTTTTGTAATTAACTTTTATTTCAGTCACACACACACATATACATGTAATTATTTTAATTTGAGGTTTATAAAAAACATTACAAACTTATTTACAAAAATAAGACTAATAGTTATTACGTAATATTTTAAAATCTCATAGTCACTTAAGTGTAAAAATTGAACATGAATTATTATGAATAATATATACTCCCTCCGTTTCTGAAACAAGTTCCACATTTGACTTCACACATATTAAGAAAATAAATTTGACTTTACTATGGAGTGCACTGTTTGGCACTGTATGAGCACCCGTCCTGTTTAGCACTGTTTGAACACTGTTTGACACTGTTTTGATGTAGATAATTTGCCAAACAAGGAAATGTTTGAAAGTGGAACTTAATTTTGAATCTGCCCGAAAAGGAAAGGTAGAACTTGTTTCAGAAACAGAGGGAGTATATATCTACTTTTTTATTTTAACTTTTAAAGAATATTATTTTTAATAAAAAATTCATTTTAAATAACATCTATTGTTTATCAAATTTAGCCATCTCAATCATAAATTTTTCCATTTCAGTAAATTAAACCCATTTTAGTTGTTTACCTTCTCAAATAAATCATTTTCATTTTCATTTACCCCAGTGTCGCAGTCTTACCCCTGTACTAAAATTTTCCATCATTTGCAATGGAGCCAAAGATTCATTATTTTTAGGCTTGAGATTATGATGGAATAAAGCAAAATGACTCACTAAACTGTATGCGCTTCGTTGTTATGAAGCAGCAATCAGTCCATGCAATTTTGGACGAGATTTTCACTATGGGTCATCCGGAAACAGTCTCTCTGTGCTTTAGTACAGGGGTAAGACTGCGTACATCCGACCCCCCTTACCCCACCGTAGGTGGGAGCCTTTGCGGCACTGGAGTAAATGAAAATGAAAATGAAATGAAATGACCTTCTCAAATAAATATTTGGTGAAATTTACACAACAATATCTACTTTTACACATTTTATAAATTGAAATTTCTTATAAATTGAGCAAGAGAAATATTAAATTATTATAGATAAAATGTATTTATAATACGGAGTAATAATAATTACTCCCTCCATCCCATAAAATAGTTCACACTAGGATTTGGATCGGAGTTTAAGAAAATGAGAATAAAATGGAAATGTATAATTCTGGTTGAGTAAGAAAAGGTAAATGAATGGTAGTCACACAAAACTTTTCAAATAAGAAAATGAGAACTATTTTTAGAGACCGTCCAAAAAAGAAACCAAGAACTATTTTGCACACTAAGGGAGTATGTGAAGTGGCAGACGTGCTATTGTTCAAGGTTGTTCAGGCGAACACCCAAAATTTTGAAAATAAGATGTAAAAGTTACATGTATAGAATTGATACAATAATTTATATAGTGTATTTTTTATACAATGTTTGTTACCCTTAACCTCTTTTCCTAGATTTTTGTGATTAAAAAAATTACATTCCTTCAATTGTCGTATCGAAAAACATTAGTGTTCAATATTTTAATCATAATTTTTTTTTGAACACCCAATTTCGGATGCAAGATCCGCCACCGAGTATGTGAATATGAATTAGCTTTATAAATAGTCTCTATTATGCATTTAACTGCTACACGAGGTGGATCCGTGATCCGTGGATGGTTAGACAAGGCCACAAGGGACACGACCAATATTCTACCGCGTAGGAGCTATACATTTCTTATTTTGCTGCCCCTTTTTCGTGAATATTCTTAGCCACCGCAATGTTATAGTGTGCAATGTTATTGCAATGGTATTGTTATACTCTCTCAATCCTCCTATAATTGTTTCATTTTTTCATTTTTGGATATTCTCTATTACTGTTTCATATCATATTTAGTAACATTTGTGTGACTTTAATTCATTCTTACTTTATTCCCACTTTATCAACTCATTATCAATCACATAATTCCATTTTTCTTAAAAACCACATCATTCCCTTCCGTCCCAATATTAGGGGGACGGAGGGAGTACTTTTTTTTTTGAATATAATGGTATTGTTATACTTCATGACTATCATTTTTTCTTTTTCAATTGCCTCACAAAATTATTATTTTCTTTTTTAAGAAGTTAATTTGTTGTCTTCCAAAAAAGTTAATTTGTTGTTTTTCAAAAAGAAAGTTGTCTTTCATACAAACTTCAAACGCACAATGTTAACTTTATTAAACTTAACAAAAGTTTTAAAGACAGATGAAGTATTATCATCATACTTGGATTTTTATCCACTTAAATCTCAAAACAAAATGACATTTCTATATTTGATATATATATATATATATATATATATATATATATATATATATATTATTTTAACAGATCAAATTACTAAATATGTTTAATGAGAGGAAACTTAAATAATACAATACTAATAATATAGACATAGCGTCAAACTTTTTGCCAAGGGGTTGGATTCATGGGGAATGTAGGGGGGTCCACTTCGGCCTGGAGTTTTACCTTACTCCTTCACCCCCGACTCAACTCTTCGGCCTTTAAGAGTGCGGGACTGGGGGACTATATCGGCCTCCACATGCTGGAAAACATTCCAGCGTAAGTAAACATTCAAAAAATGCAAAGGACCACAAGCCAAAGATAGTGGTATCACAGCGTTCTCAACCATGTGATCCACCTTCGGCCAAAATGACAAGGATACCATATGATCCACGTGTGACACCTTCAAGGAAACCACACCAGCACCTCAACATCCATAAGCATATGATCCATCCTCGACTAAAGGCACAAATGCAGGGCACGCGTCGTCCTCAAAGCCAAGGACACACAACGTCCTCAGGACAATGACACTCATCGTCCACATTACGAACTGGACAAAATGCACCACGACGGCCAACCAGATCAACGATTGACGACAAGGGAAACCCGCTGGCAAGCAACAACCAAACGAGGAGGAAATCAAACAAAACTATCAAACCACGAATGGTTCCGCTTCGGCTTGGAGCACCAAAAGCAATTATGGTGCCTCCTCGGTCAGAAGCACAAAAGACAGCCAACGGCTGCGAAAATAACATCATTAGCCAGAAACAGGGAACCTGCGACGGCTCAGAAAGCAACGGCTAGCATCAGCCACCAGGTGGTACCGCCTCGGCCAGGGACACTGAAACTTCAAGATGATCCTCCGTCGGTCAGAAATATCAGAACATCATTGGTCTACTCCCTTTCACTTCGTCTGCATCTCAGCTCAGAGAGTGGGGGACTCCTGATGGAGTATATGGGTCCAGACCCCATGACCCACATACTCAGAAGATTAAAATGAAGTACAGCTGTCACCTGGAGGATCCTCCATCGGCCAGATGGTCCCCCGTCAGTCGAAAACACATCAACTCAGAATATTGTCCAGAATCCAGGAGAACCGTGGGTCCTCCGTCGGCCGGATCTCCGTTGGCCAGGGCTCCATCAGCCATGGCTCCATCGGCCATAGAGACTTCACATAGC